TGGGAAGAGAGGGTTGTTAGTAACTGGGTACAAAGGCAAGAAAAGTACGCCCTGACGATACGTCCGGAGCACTGTGACGTCACGTCCGGCGCACGCGCCATATTGGGACTCCATGCTATACCTATGCTATGAGGGATGTTCTGCTTGTATTCGTCTTGTGTTATGTGAGTGGGCACTTTTTTTTTATTGCTTATCTTTTAAAAAAATGCAGTATCACGCTATGGAGCATGTTTATTTATGTCTCCGAGTTGACCCTGTGGGTACGAGAGGTATTGCCAGAGTTAAGAGGGACTGAAGGAGATCTGGATGACAACAGCTCTAGAGTGGTATCCAGTACGGTCCAATAGACAGGGTGGCTCTTGTGGATACGTGGTACATACCACAAAATCTGCCTTTGAACGGCTTTGCCAACAGTGTCCTGGTGCCCCGGGCCTTATTTCCCTTCTTTATGCAGCTTTGAACAGGCGCATGACGCATACTTCTCTTTCATATGATGTTCAGTGGGAGCGCGACCTGGCGTCAGTCTTGGATCTGGAGGACTGGAATAGGGCCTGGTCACTTATAGCTAAATGTTCATTTAATACGGGTTCCGGCTCGTTTGGCCCAGGCGAACCCTGTCTGCAGTGATCGATGCTTTCGGGGTTGTGGCCATCGTGGTGATGTATTGCATATCTGGTGGTCATGCCCGAGACTACTTCGTTTTTGGTCTCGTGTATAGTATAACAATTTCGGCAAGATGGTCATTTTCACTGAATTAACCCGTCCTATTCAAGACAGGTGTGGAAATTGCGGTGAATGCATCAGAGAAGACAGAGCGAAGCAATGGATAATTTGCAGCAAAAAGTGAGTCATAGGTGGGGGTCAAGCGAATGCCTGGGTATTCAAGAGAAGAAGCCCATTTGTAAGGGAAGTGGGACTGTAGGCGCAAAACCAAATCTGAGGCTAAAAGTAATATTAAATCGCAACAGTCTTATCCAAATTAATAAAACCCGATATCAAAGAGAAGTGCTCAAGAACCTGATACAAATTTGGAAGCGTCGTCAGGGGATTAGCGAAAGTCAAGAGGGCATCATCTCCAAAAAGGTTCAACTTGAACTCCTGTCCCACATATGGAACCCGATACATTACAATCAGTCCGGAGCGCCAAAGCCAAACGGCTCAAGCTCCAGGACAAAGAGCTGGGGACAGGGGGCAGCCCTGTCTCGTCCCTCGCCAAATAGGAAAGGGAACTGAAAAATACCCAGCGTATTTAACGGAAGCCGAAGAATACAAGGCTTGAATCCAAGAAAGAACAGAATCCCCAAAACCCCAACGAGACAGCACAAACCGCAGATATTGCCAAGATAGAGAATCAAAGGCTTTATATGTCTAAGGACAGTAGGAATCATGCAATTTTCCACTGTTGTAGAAAATGTATAAGATGGACGACCTTACGAATGTTATCACCCGCCTGCCTCCCAGGGACAAAATCTACTTGGTCCCTGTGGACCAGACTACGCAAATAATTGACACGAAAACTAAGAATCTTGCCCAATATCTTCAGGTCTTCATTAAGAAGAGAAATGGGCCAGAAGGCTTGCAGTTCCTGCACATCATTGGTCGTTTTAGGAATCATGGAGATATGAGCTCTAAGCGTGTCTGGAGAGGGCAACTAACAGGGTTGCAAATTTCTTATAATAGAGGCCGAAATAGCTGTCGGGTCCTGGGGCCACGGTGGACCATAGAGATTTGATAGCTTGGATCACTTCCGACATGGTGACACCGGCGTTGAGGGCCATCTGCGCTGCCTAGGATAATCCAGTTAGTCTTGGAAGAATGCCTCTGCCTGAGCCACAGGGAAGGGATCTGGTTTAGCGTAAAGGCGCGAAAGGAAGTCTGTGAAATGGGAGACAATCTGCTGGGGATTAGAAGTACAGCCACCTACGGGAAGTCGGATCGATTTATGGGGTTTCCCCACAGAATTGAGTTTCCAGGCCAGCATCGGAACCGGCTTATTAGCACAGGAATAAAATGTGTTTGGTCCAACGCAGGGCCCGTTCCGCCTCCGAAGAGGCGAGCAGGTCCAACTCTGCTGCCAGAGCATCCAGTGTGTGTTTATGGGCCGCGGATGGGAATGACTTCCAACAAGCATCTGCAGAGGCCAGTAGAGAATGAAGCTTCAAAAGTTGGCGCCCCCACTCCCAAACCGCCGCTAGCTATATAACATGACCCCGCACCGTGGCTCTATGCTCCTCCCACAGGGGCACTGCCGAAGAGACCGATCCCGAGTTTTCCGTGAAGTATGTGCGTAAGAAAGATTCTATTTGTTGGAAGGAAACCTGAGTGGTCAATAAAGAATCATTAATGCGCCAGTGAAAGGGGCACCGTACCGACCCAGAGAGGGCCAGGAGGAGTACCAGGGGATCATGGTCCGACCAGGGCGAGGAGGGAATAGCTATTCACCTGACCAAGGGAAGCTGCTGAACATGCATGAATATATGGTCAATTCTACAAAAAATGTCATGAGGGTTGAAATAGACAGTAAATTCGCGCTCAGTTGGGTGAAGTTGCCTGCAGACATCCGCCAGCCCTGCCATCCACAAGAGTGCGCATACATTCCTCTAGCACTAAGTCATGGGAAGGGGCCACGCTGAGCATAGCGCCTATCCAATGTGGAATCCAAGGTAACATTTGAATCTCCCAAGAGAAGACGACGACCCTTGGAGTGTCAGGACACAATGGTGCAAAGATGAGAAAAGAATTTATGCTGAAAGCGATTGGGTGCATAGTACGAGACAAAACTGGAGGAGCAGGAGGCAGCTGTTTTTTTCCCATAGAGGCACCAGAGGATAGGGGGCCAGAAGGGGTTGTAGGGAAGGCCAACCCCCCCCCCCCCCCCCCTCCATGGCTAAAAATTGGCCGATGTGCCGGTGGCGGAGCAGCAGGCTTAAATTGCAGCCATTCTTGAAGCTGCTCACGAGCGCCCCCCGGAAACAGTTTTTTAACTCGGGGAAATAAACTAAAAGGAAACTTTCTTTTAGCTGGGGGGAAATTGACAGCTGAATCTGAGCTATAGTGAAGAGAAAAAAAAAAAAAATGAAAAAGCAGTAATTACATTTAAAAACTGGCGCCATAATAAACATTGTGGGGTCCCCCCTGCATTCATAACAAGCCTTTCAGGTGTCTGGTATCAGTTTTTAAGGGAACCCCCACACCAAAATTCCCCCCCCCCCCCCCCAAAGATCCATACCAGACCCTTATCAGAGCATGCAACCCGGCAGGTCAGGAAAGAAGGGGAGGGTGTCCAGAGCTAGCAATCCAACTAGGGGAACCCACCTTGATACATAGACTTGCAGTAGTTATACATTGTGTAAACATACAATTATGTTGATGGGGACAACGGCCTCTTCCCCACAACCCTGGCCAGTGGTCGTCAGGGTCTGCGGGCAGGGGGCTTATCGGAATCTGAAAGCCCCCTTTAACAAGGGGCCCCCCATCCTGGCCTCCCCCACCCCCATGTGAATGAGTAAGGGGTACATAGTCCTGCTACTCAAGTGTAGAGTGGTGGGGGAAAAAAAAAAAAAAAAAAAAAAAAAAAAAAAAAAAAGGCAGGACACAATCTTTGACAAGTCCTTTATTAAAAAAGAAAAAAACGAAACTAATGCCCCCCACAGTAGATTCAACGTAAATCACAATGTCCGCTGCCACCGACTCGAAAAAAAGGGGGGGGGAAATAAATAGGCATGGTGGTCCCCCCGAAATTCATACCAGACCCTTATCCGGGCATGCAGCTCAGCAGGTCAGGAAAGCAGGGGGACAAGCAAGTGCCCCCCGCCCCCCCTTGTGAACCATACCAGGCTGCATGTCCTCAACATGGGGGGGGGGTGCTTTCCCCACACAAGTTTTTCTGGCAGGTAGTCACTCTCCCCTCCATCTGCAGCCTCCTGGTACACAGGGCATCTAGAGACTGGCAAAGAAACAGCCCAGATGAGGACAGCACTGGACTCCTGCGCTAGTGAGTGTCTGTTTCTTAAAAGTCAGCAGCTACAGTATTTGTACCCACTGACCTAAATTTTTATTTAATTTTTTAAATAACAGGAATTACTCTTTAACAAAGTCCCCAATACATTACCTAGGGCACACCAGGATTTGTCCTGTCAATGGCATCCTGTGTGCATCATGTGCATTCTGCTACTAGGCCATATAACCCTGTACCACCGCATCAATCCTTTATACCCAGATACCTGAAGCCTGCTCAATAAAAAGGAGCGGTGGACAAAGTACAGGACATGGTCTCGTCGTTTATTCATGAACGTCAAAGCCAAGTCCCATTTACTTTTAAAAGGAGGCACATAGCTTTCTGGCGGAGTAGACAGAACAGAGTAAGCTGTGCAGAGAGAATGGCGTATTAGGGTTGGATCTAGGCAATAATCCTCAAAAATCGGTAATCAGGCCTCTTGGGATTTCTTGGGAGCAAAAGTTAAATTTTAGACAAAATCCTAACTAACAAGAATTCAACTACAGGTGAGTCTAATTATTCATTAAACAGATGTCCAGCAGACAACAGATTATAAAAGTGACATATACTTAAAGAAAACCCCATTTCATGCTGTCAACAATGGTACCACATGGAAGAAAAACGTCACAAGGCCTGAGAAAGAAAATTTCTTTACACAAGAGAGGTGCAGGTAACAAGAGGATCAGCAAAGCCTTACTTCTCACTCAGAATACTGTAGCAAAAGTGATACAAAAGTTTAACAAAATGGAACTGCAACCATCTTACAGAGACATCCAGGCCGTTCACAAAAGTTAACACCTCAACAGGAGCATCTGCTGATGAGAAGGTTGGAGAAAAATCGCCATGCAAATTAACTGCAGTTAAAGTTGAAAGCCAAACTGGGTTGTTTCCCATAACACAATATGGCATACAATGCAGAGGAATGGCATGCATTGGTGTAATCCACGAAGGAAGGCTCTTCCAAATCCAATTGCACAAAAAAGCCCGCCTAGAATTTGCCATGGCCCATTCTGAAAAAGACGACTACTGGGACTCTACTCTGGAATGAGGAGACCAAGATAAAAATGTTTTTGGAACTGATGGCTTCAAAACTATCTGGAGTTGCAAAGGTGAGGAGTACAAAGAAAAAAAAAAAAAAAAGCTGCATGGTGCCTAATGTAAAACATGGTGGTGGAAGTGTACTTCTGTGGGGGCTGCATGAGTGCTGCTGGTGTCAGGGACCTACATTTCATTGATGTAATCATGAATTCACAGATGTACTGCTTTATATTGAAAGAGAAGATGCTACCATCACTCCGTGCCCTTAGTCGTCACACACTTTCCAATAAGACAATCCAAAATACACATCTAAGGCCACTGTTGCATTTCTCTTTTTTTTTCTTCTTTTGTTGCTCAGTTTTGATTCAAGCTCCTGTTCCCATTTTTCCCCAAGAACTGGGGAAAATCAGTACCCTCCATATCCATAAGAAACTAATGGATCTTAGAAGTGCCCTGTTTAGGGGCTATAGTTACATTTAACAGTTTCTCAAATGGATACTGATCCTCTGACGTCCTCAGTGGTTGTGGGAGTGTTGAAACAAAATGACCTAATTGGCCATAACGCAACCTCGTCCAAAAAAAAAAAAAAAAAGTTTTATTTTTCACATTTAAATTAAAGGTGTGCAATTACTTAGTATATCTTTCAAACATGTATTCTGATCTTTAATCCATTTCCCAGAGATATTATCCTTCCCTGGGGAAAATACTCCATTCCCGCCAAGGGAATCATAACTGAAAATATATTTCCATTCCTTTTGCTTATACATTCTATCACAAACACTTAAAAGTTTCTTTGTCAGTGGTCTAATATTCACATCTAATGTGTGGAATTTGTATGGTACACAAACCATCTTCCCTAACTGTGCCTTACTCAAAATCTTCCATATTCACCCAACCTTTTCCTTGTGAATTGAATACCCAAACTATTATTCGTGATATTACCGCTTGATAATTCTTAACATTTGGCATACCCAAACCCCCATTCCCTTTTGCCCTACACAATACCGCATACTTAATTGTCGGTTTCTTATTTGCCCAAATAAACTTGGGTATCATCTTCTTTACTAACCAGAAAAAAAAGATCCTGGTATGTGTACTGGGAGCATGTGAAACATAAATAGGATTTTTGGTACTATCACTATCTATACCAGGTTTATAAAACCTATCCAGGAAGCGCCACCTTTTGACAATCTCCCCAGTTCCTCTTTTATTTTGTTTACTAATGGAATGTAATTTGCCTAGTACAGGGCCTTTATTGAAGAAGTTACTTTTATTCCCAAGTAGCCCATTTCTTTTTCACTCCATTTTAAAAAAAAAAAAAAAAAAAAAAAAAAAAAAAAGTCTTTTTTGTAGACCTAGCCTCTCAACGTTTGGTATATTGATATTTAAGATATCTAACTTTGCAGGATATATTTTGAAATTTGATAGCTCGCCGTATTGCTTTAATAATCTCATTAGGTTAGGCAACGTTATTCTAGGAATCACTATATAAAAGAAATATAGTCTGCATATGCTTCCATTTTCTATCTTTATTTCTATCTTTATTCCTGCTATGTCTACACACTTCCTTACCCTCGCCAGGACAGGTTTCAGGGATAAAACAAATAAAAAGGAGAAAGTGGGCATCCCTGTCTGGTTCTATTATACATTTTAACCCCTTGACACCGAACAGCCGCATATTTGCGTGCAATTAGAAAATACATATGTGCTGAGAGCACATGCCCTGCGTGCTCCCAAGCACATATGTCTGTGACCCACGGAAAGGTCCAGATCTCCCCTTTCAATCGGGACCTTTTCCAAACATATGACCTCCGTGACAGCGAATCATGGTGTGATGACTTTTGGACTATTAAGAAAAATATTATCCCTAAAATAGGGATTTCTAAGCTGACTGTGATGGGTTAACATCCTTGTTTGATTTCAAGTGACCTTCCAGGAAGCTACCATAAACAATGAGTGGAAGAGACTTGTTTAAAATACAATCAGATTAAAACACCACTATTTGAATTTCTGCAGATGATCAAACAGTATCAAAGTTTGACAATCGTGGGACTAAGTCCTTATTGTCTAGAGTTCTCCCAAAACCTTGGAAGGTGTGTGATCACCAAACAAAACCTCGGAGCTATCACAATCAGCTATTGAATACTGAGGTTAAACTCCAGTCCAATCTGTTTACCCTAATTACCAAAACAATGGATGAAGCTTCCTATGTCATATCTCCTTGAACTGTGCATTCAGCATAAGGTGAAACTTGGTTCATTTAATTACTTGCCAACCGCAGATAGCCGAATGACGGCTACACTGCGGCCAGCTTGTTCTGGGAGGGAGTCATATGACATCCTCCTAGAACGCGCTCTCCTGCACGCCCCCGGCGATCTCTGTGATCGCTGTGTCCTACGGATGTGATGTGGTAAAAGGCCAATCACAACGGCCTTTTACCACATGTCCAATGACACGCTGATCACTGGGAAATGCAATTGCCGGTTCTCGGCTGCACTTTCCTCACGCTGTCAGAGCGCGAGGAAAGTACTGCCGAGAACCGGCAGTTGTCAAAGCAGGGATCGGCACCGATCAGGGCACTGATAATTAGTGCCCTGATGATCGGTGTCCAGCAGCGCCATCCACCAGTTCCGCCCAGCAGTGCCGCCCACCTGTGCCCAGCAGTGATGCCCACTAGCTCCACCCACCTGTGCCACCCAGCAGGGCCCCCACCTACATGTGCCTATCAATGCAGCCCAGCAGTGCTGCCACCAGTCAGTGCCCAGCGGATGTGCCAGTCAGTGCCACTTATCAGTGCTGCCCATCAGTGCCGCCTCATTAGTGCCGCCCATCAGTGCCGCCCATCAGTGCCGCCTCATCAACGCCCATCAGTGCCACCTCATCAACGCCCATCAGTGAAGGAGAAAAATTACCTGTTTGCAAAAAAAATTATAAAATTTTTCACACTTTTTGTTTATAGCGCAAAAAGTAAAGCGCCCAGCGGCGAATAAATACCACCAAAAGAAAGCTCCATTTGTGAGAAAAACCAGTTAGGCTTACTGGTAACTCCTTTTCTTCAAGTCTTCCAGGACAGCCCCTTGAGACGTAGAGCTCCTCCCTCCAGGTCAGGAAACACACCATCCCCCACGCCTTTAAAGGCGGACCTCCAGGCCTCCATCCCCAGTTTTTATTCGAAAACTAGCGGAAGACACTGAAAGACACAAATATACACACATATAGATAACCCCATATACAAAACTTGTACATCTAAAGGGTGGGAAATTGCGGCTGTCCAGGAAGACTCAAAGAAAAGGAGTTACCGGTAAGCCTAACTCTGGTTTTCTCCTTACGTCTTCCAGGACAGCCCATTGAGACGATAATCAAGAACTTACCCCTTAGGGCAGGCCCACTGCCTGGAGGACCCTGCGTCCGAATGCCTGCTCCCTATTTGACAGGAGATCTAAGCGGTAATGCTTGACGAAGGTAGAGAACTTTGACCAGGTGGCTGCCTTACAGATCTCCTCCGGCGAAGCCCCGGCCCTCTCTGCCAAGAAGCTAAGGATCTCGTCGAGTGGGCTTTAACAAAGGGGGGGGGGGGTTGAATACCTAAAACCTTGTAAGACTCCCCTATAGCTAATCTAATCCATCTACCTATAGTGGATTTAGACGCTACAGAACCCTTCTTTTGACCAGAAAACAAAACAAAAAGGGAATCTGACTTTCTAAATTTCCGGGCTCTCTCAAGATAAATCATAAGACTCCTCCTTACATCTAGCAAACTTAGCCTTCTTCCTTACCTTCAGGAGAAGGGTAAAAGGTCGGTAGGACTATATCCTGAGACCTGTGAAAGAAGGAGGATACTTTAGGGATAAAACCCTGATCCGTCTTGAGGATGACCTTGTCCTCAAAAACGGTCAGGTAAGGCTCCCTAATAGAAGGAGCTTGTAATTCACTCACCCTACGGGCCGACGTGATAGCTATCAAAAACACCACTTTTAAAGTCAAAATCCTAATCGTAGATTCTTCCAAAGGCTCAAAAGGCTTGCGTATGAAAGCCTTCAGGACTAAGGATAAGTCCCAAACTGGACAAGTCTTGACCCTCACTGGTCTAGACTTGGAAAGAGACCTGAACAAGTCCACAACAAAAGGATTCTCCTGCAGGGGAACCTGCAGAAAAATGCTTAGGGCCGAAGCCTGTATCTTTAGGGTGCTGATCGAGAGACCTCGATCCGCCCCTTCCTGAAAAAAATCCAAGACCGCCGGGATGTCTGGGGGCCCCTGCAGCTGACCCAAAAACCAAGAACTAAAAACTTTTTCCAGACTTTCGAATAAATGGCTCTGGTAACTGGCTTACGGCAGTTAACCAAAGACTTACTACTGTGTCTGAAAACCCCCTGGCTTTGAGGAGCTGCTCCTCAAGAACCAAGCCATCAACTTCAAGATCCTGATCCGCGGATGCAGAAGAGGGCCTTGAGAAATCAGATCTTCCCTCTCCGGGAGAGGAGAAGGGCGAACTGCGGTAAGACTGTTCAGTAGGGAGAACCAGGTTCTCTTTGGCCAAAAGGGTTCTATTAAGACTAGATCCGTCTTTTCCCTCCCAAACTTTTGCAGAACTGCCAGGATTAGTCTCACCGGAGGAAATGCATAAGCCAAGTTGAAGTTCCAAGAGGTTGACAGGGCATCTATTCCTAAGTTCTGCTCCCTTGAATTCAGGGAAAAAAATTGACCAACTTTTTTGTTCTCTTGGGATGCAAAAAGATCGATCTCCGGAACCCCCATCTGCTGACTGACTGTCGTGAAAGACCTCCTGGTTGAGAGACCAATCGTCGTGACTGATTGGTCATCGACTCAGGAAGTCTGCTAGGGAGTTCTGTGACCCCTTCAAATGAACTGCGGATATTGCCAAAAGATTCTGTTCGGCCCAGGCCAGAATACCACCCGCAATCTTCTGCAGAGAAGGGCTCCGTGTACCTCCCTGCTTGTTTATTTAGGCCACTGTCGCTATGTTGTCCGACCGAACCTGCAAGTGACGGTTCTCTAACTTTGGCCTCCAATACCCCCTGAACTGCCATCAGCTCCCTCTTATTTGAAGGCCTTAAAAGACTCTGCCCGAGACCATCTCGCCTGAGATGTCAACTCGTCTAGATGGGCTCCCCAACCATAACTGCTGGCATCCGTTGTCACAATGAGCGGAGCCAACTGACCCCACTCTAGTCCTTTGGTCAGATTTGCCTCCTTCCACCACCACCAAAGAGACCTCTTGACTTTGGAGGGGAGCTGGACCGCCTGCTCTAATGTAGAGCTGTCCCCGTCCCATACCCTCAACAGGAATGCCTGAAGCGGCCTTTGGTG